ATAGATATATTTTTAAATTTAAGATTTAGATAATATACGTATATTTAGATTTAAATATAAGATTTAGATGTAAATTTAAGATTTAGATAATATACGTATATTTAGATTTAAATATAAGATTTAGATGTAAATTTAAGATTTAGATATAAATATAATATTTGTATATAGATATATGAGGCAGAAATAGATATAATATTTAGATATAGATTTAACATACATTATTTAACATTTACCATTAAATATGAGAAAAATGCACTAAATGTGAAGAAAGTGCACTGATTTTTTCTCTTAGTTTCCAGTTTACTCTTGGCACCCCACAGAAACTCACCCAAATTCTGTGAGATTCCACATTTTATACTGGATTAAATTTTGTGTTAATTCCATGATTCCAACTGCAATTTCCACATTGCAGAAATCATAGGGCCGTACATACAGTATCAGTCCTATTTTTATCTATTGTTTTACACACCTGGGAAAGTTTTTCATGTACCCCCTGTAATATGCTTGCGTAGCCCAAGGGGCCAAGGACGTACTCCTGGTTGGGACTCATTGTTCTAAATGTTACACATAAAATCCAACCTGTAAACTTTACTGTAAAGTGTAAACTCATGTGGCTAAACTGTAAACTTTAATGTAAACTTATAAGGTTAAATTGTAAACTTTATTGTGAAGCAAGAACTTGTAAAGTCCTAAATATAATTTTTACTATAAAGTGGAAAGTTATAGGGCTAAATTGAAAACTTTACTGTAAAGTGAAAACTTGTCAACTTTATAAGTTAACACTTCACAGCTGTAAATTTTATGTAAACCTATAAKGTAAAAAGTTTTTAATGGGTATTGTACACATTGTCACTTTTATAGGGGATGGTTTTGCCACTATTAACTTCACCATCAATGATATCGCCTTCATCTGAGATGAATGTTAGTTTTTTTCCTGCCTTTTGTTTGATTTAGTGCGTAGAGACATCCTATTATCTCCCTAGAAGAAAAGGAGATGATCTTTGCTTTCATAACCACTCATTTTTACGGTCTTGTAGTTGCTGTTTTGGGATTAAAGCAGAGGAACTGAGTCATAACTTACTGAAGGGAAATGTTGAGCTGACACAATCACATGCAGCCACAGTGGCCTTGTTCAGTCATGCAACATGATGGGGTGTAAAATTAATACATTCAATTTGTGTTTGCTCTAAATGCRTGGAAATTGGTGAGTTTGAGACGCTTGGGTTGCACTGTTTTTTAGGGGTGTCCCCCATCACCTCCCCCTTGGTGGCGCCACTGTTAGAGTGAAACCACAATGTAAATTCTACAGTTTGTCCAGAAGACATTTTGTGATTTGTTCAACAGTTTTTTTTATTACTGTGCAGCATTAATAAATGTCAGCGCCTGTTTTCAGGAGAAAACCCTTGCTGTCCTCCGTCACAAACTGTCAGTGGTTCATGGAGGCGCCTGACTGTCGTTTTAAGACGGACTTTAAAACTGTGCACCTGCTCTTTAAAGCTGACTTGCACACAGTGATGCTTTGACCTAAATGCTAACATCAGCGTGACAGCATGCTCACAGTGACTCCAGACTGGAATTTCATTGTTATTCCAGGATGAACACCATTCCTCTGTTGCTTCACAACACTGACTGTCAGATTTCCATTTTGTGTTCCTATTCTTCKTCTCTTAAATCACTTTGTGGCATTGTTAGGCCAGCATAATGAGTCTTTTTCCTTCAGAAATAGATTTTTTCTGTGGCTGTGTTGGYTTGTTAGTTATTTAAACAACGACCATCGCAAATGTCAACTGTTTTGCAAACTTAAAGACTATTTCACACTATAGTTCTTTTAGTATTTTCCACATACCAACCCCCTTCGGACATTTGCCTTCGTCATGACACTTAAATATCCAGAGTTTTCACAAAAAGTTTGTAGGATAACAGTGCCTGCAGAGCAGAAGAAGGGAAATACAGRAAGAGGTTGGKAGATGGTTATTTAACTTTATTTATTGTTGTTAGTTTTTTTCTTTTACAGCCAACATGGTCTGAAAGATAAGATAAGATAAGATAAGATAAGATAAGATAAGATAAGATAAGATAAGATAAGATAAGATAAGATAAGATAAGATAAGATAAGAT